TTACTTGTTAATTTGCAGTTCCTTGAAATGTCTCCCTATTAATGTCTTAACAGTTTTATGCATTGATAAAAATTATTTAGTCTGTCACCAGTCTATTAACTTTAAGGTGTTTTTCATTTAAGAGAAATCCTTCATTTTGATATAGTCATAACCGTTATTTTTTAACCTAAATTAAAAGAAAAAAAATTATTTTGGGGACATGTTTAAGCATATAGTCCTTCACTTATATCCCAGACACATCCTACATTTTCTTGTATTATAGTTTTACCTTTTAATCCATCTTTAATCTATCTGGAGTCCAACTTTGTATATAGTATAATATAGGGATTTGTTTTTCTCTGTATCATGAGTCAGTGTCATGGATTCAATTATGTCCCCCCAAAAATGTGTATACAATTTGGTTGGGCCACTATTCCCAGTATTGTGTGGTTGTCCTACATTTTGTAATTGTAATTTCATGTTAAAGAGGATTAGGGTGAGATTGTAACACCCTTACTAAGGTCACATCCCTGATCCAATGTAAAGGGAGTTTCCCTGGGGTGTGGCCTGCACCGCCTTTTATCTTGCAAGAGATAAAAGGAAAGGGAAGCAAGCAGAGAGTGGGTGACCTCATACCACCAAGAAAGCAGTGCCAGGAGCAGAGCTCATCCTTTGGACCCAGGGTCCCTGCGTTGAGAAGTTCCTAGTCCTGGGGAAGACTGATGAGAAGGCCAACAGAGACAGAAAGCCTTCCCCTGGAGCTGACGCCCTGAATTTGGACTTTCAGCCTACTTTACTGTGAAGAAATAAATTTCTCTTTGTTAAAGCCATGTGCTTGTGGTATTTCAGTTATAGCAGCACTAGATAACTAAGACAGTGTTCCAATATTATCTTGTAAGGAGTTTGTACTTTTTTCATTATGTAAGCAGTGCCTCTTTATCATATACCAGTCACATTTTTTATATATATATATAAAAAGAAGAATGCTCCTGGGAGAGTGATGGCTCTGAATAAGAAAGGGCAAGAGAAATACCCCTGCCCATCCACTCTCAGGAGCGCAATGTTAACACTGCTGTCTATGGAGTCAGCCTTCTGAAGCCATATGGAAATAGGAAACCTTAAACACACTGAGTAACTTGAAATGGATTTTTTGATCACATATAAAAAGATAAGGCTTATTAGGTCAAGTGCCACAGAGATGGATGTGAATTCTTGCACTTGTTTCAATGTTTAGTGGCATAATGTGTTTCCGTGTCATGTTACATAAATAAAACATTTTGAATGTCTTAACTACATTATATACTGCATCGTATCTGTAGTTATGCAGCAGCTATTTGGGATCTCAGCGAACCTGTTATCCACAACATTTTCCAATTTTTCCAAAACTTCCTAAAATTCCTGGAATAAATGATACAGTATTCAACTAGTAAAATTTTTTATCATGATATTTACCTGGTCAACTTTTTTCTAAGCAAGGAAAAATGTAGCCAAAAACAAACCTGACTTGTGACTTAATTCAGAATTCTGTATGTAAAGTCCTGGGCAAAAAATGTCATTGGTTAGCTGGGTTAGCTCACATATTTTCTGGGTTGGAGTTTGCACGAAGAAGGAAATCTTCCTTCATGAAAGTCATGATCTATTTATCTTTGCTTTTTTTTTAGGTGGGGAAATTGCCAGAAACTTCAAGGACTACTGTGCAAAAATTATGCAATTGTTCAGAGCCCTTTACAAGGACTGTATAGCAGTGTAGACTATCAGCTTAAATAATTGTTTGCCTTACCCTTGGATGTGGCTGCAAATTATTTTAGAATCTGTTATTCTGTTACATTGCCCAATGATTCTGAGCAACAAGTTCAACATACAGTTAAGCAAGCCAGCCAGTATCTCCCTTAGAAACCGATAACGTGGTATTATGAGCTATAGTCCTAACTAGAAGTCTACTGCTGTCTAGCACCAGTCCTCAGACTGTTCCATTTTCAATGCTGATGAATGAATGTACTTGAACTTTAAAAGCAGAAGATCAAATTCAACCCATCTAAAAACATTTAAGGAATGCTCATTACATCACCCAGAGGCTTCTTGAGAGTGTCAGACTTGGTGGTGGTTAATCTACAAATCTACAAGATAGTACTCCTAGCTTTTCTTTTTGTTTTCATCTTGGTGAAAAAATCGTGAAAATTCACCATCACAGAGCAAAAAGAACTGTAATTTATGTTTTACAATTTAAAGAACTGACACGTATTATCAAAATCCATGTTCTAGTATATTTTAGAAATTTTCTAAAAAATGTTTGTTTTAGAAAAAAAGGAGATTATTGGCACATCACAGTGGAACATCTAGAAGGTCCTGCTTTACCAGGGAAGAAATGTTAGGATGTGATGTTATGATGTGCACGAGGCATTTGCGCCCCCCCCATTCCCTTCATTTCTCCACAATACAACTGACTGCATGAGACAGTGTAGGAGAGTTTCAAATAATAACAGATAACCCCAAGTTGTTGTGAAATCACAACAGCTACAGGTCAACCTGAAAAGAGGTGCAAAAAAAAAATGCACATGTTCTTCTTGACCAAAGACTTCTGGCTCATGTGAATCTAGCTAGGACTGTTGTCAAATTTCAAACATGCTCTTAGGATGACAGCATAAATGTTAAACAAGAAATAGACTCAGATGTGTTAACGGGGAAAGGTCTACAAATTTCTCCACAACTTAAAACATTTTCTTTTACTAAACTTTTACTAGAACTTGGGCGTCATTAGGATATTCCTCCTTGATCTCCTACCATTTTGAATATTTTTGGAATCAGTATCGGTGACACTGACAATTCTGGGTTGATATTCTACAGAAAGTTTCCAAAGCTGAAATAACTAAAGATGCTATATGGGAAAAACTCAGGTAAGCTCTAAATGTTCTAATCATATGTAATTTTTATTAAAATAACATATAAAGTCTCCAGATTGAATATTACATGATTTATTTCAGTATTTTCTATTGCTTTTATTCATTGACAATATTTTTCCCAATACCATAAAAAAGAAAAGTTTAAGTTTCAACTTGCCATCAAACATTCTGCGGAAAACATTTTACTAAGTATAAATCACTAGAGAGTTCTTATCTAGTTTTAATAATCCATTGCTAGGAAGATGATTGAGATGCTACCAACACTGCTGACCAATTATTAAAAATGAATTAAATCCATTAGGAGCAATGGAAAAAAAAACTATTTATTCACCATCACACACACACATAAAAGGATAATAAATAAAATAGACTTTGTGCAGCTAAAGGCAATTTTCTGTTTGGAAAATATTTATATACAACTTTTGATCAATTTATGGAGCTAATAGGTTTCATTTGCTATAAAAGAATAAAATGTGAACTAAAAGTAATATCACAAATGTCATCTACAATCAAAGCAAAGTGATGTTTTATAAAAATAACAATTTACAGCAGAGTATTCTTACAAGCAGACATTTAGTGAACCATAGTAATCTGGCTGATGTAAGAATTCAAAAATGATATTTGTAATTATTTCAGCATGCTGACCCAGTCTGCTCCACTCTTGTTTCCACTCATCTAGGGATGATACAATGATCAGCAGGAAAGTATACACATAATTACTTATTTAAGTCAAATAATTTATTCAGTAGATGAAGGGTGACCTACATTAATAGGTATTAGCATAGTGTAAGAGAACGGTGTGAAAATGCTAATATCCAATATCTACTCAAGCTTGCCTTTATATCAATGTCTAAATTATTAGTTTTATTTTCCACGTAAGCATATATCTTTTATTGTGAGAATTAAGTTTACAATACCTTTGGTATTATTCCCATTACAGAGATATGGGGCAAGCCATCACCCAAACACTCTATACCCTACTTTCATGTGGCAGTTCTTGGATCAAAGCCCATGATTTACCTTCAAATATCCTCATTTTGATGGAGCAGAATCAAGGGGAGAGTTTTTGTCCATTATCATGTTCCCTCAACCTAGAATCTTCCTCATTTGGAAAAACCTTATTCATTTTCTTGGTTTAATTCAGAAATCACCTCTTCTCTGAAGTGTCCCTTCCCCCACTAAAATATATTTAATTATTCCTGCCTCTGTTCCTCATAGCATGTTATTCATAATTTTTGTAATTATAACACTATCATTTATATCATAGTTAATGATATACACCTCTTTTCCTCCTGCTAGACTTAGTCAGGGATTAGTCATCACTATATCCCATTCACAGGGCCTGGTTCTGGGTCTGGCATGGAGTGGTGTTCAATAATATTTTTTAAAATAAATGGAATGATTGCCCCATTGACAAGGCAGCAGGTAAGAAAGACTGGGTATCGTAACTGTACATGTCCTTGAAGTAGATTCTGTCAGTGAGAGAGGAAGAAGTTTAATAGAGAAGCAGTAGGTTAATATAAAATTATAGAGTGACAAAAAATGTATATTAAGGTGGCAAAGAGATAGCTTAAATCCAAACAGCACACCATTGCAGTTAACGTCACAAGTGAACATAATCAGAAGCAAGCATGTTGCCATATGAACAATTTCATTCCTGAATAATCAAGGTTTTTTTTTTTTTTTTTTCAAATACATAATTTTCTTGTATGCGCTCTTTAAGGAAGAAGGAAAGAGAGGAAGGATATTCGTGATAACAGAAAGGCCTGCCAGAGAAAGAAAACCAATGAATACTGGCAACTCAGCTGTTCTCTTTAGATAGGGTCTCTAAGACAGTATGCCTTTCATTATTAGGCTGGTGAGGGCAGAAATGGCTGTTACAAACCTTAGTAAGGGAATACTCACTGAGTCCCTAGCTCATGCCAAACACTACGCTAGGAGTTTTCATAGATGATCATATTTTACTTATATGAGTTAGAGATCATGGTCCTCATTTTGCAGGAAAGGAAACTGAAGAGCAGAACAATTAGATGACTTGCTTAGGCTGCAAACTTAGTTGGTCAAACCGAGGTTCTGGTCTCCTCTATTAGACTCTACAACCACCTCCTGGGGTTTTGGGAAACTTCGTTTATCACCTATTGTGATATATTCAAACTAATCCCAATTTTAAGACACTTGGTTTAGGCTATTTCACATTTGCTAAATTGTAATTTGAGGATTCCTTTCACATGAAGTTGGAGAATCTGGCTGTATTCTTTGGGCATCTCATGGAAACCTCGTTTAGGTAGCTTGTTGTCATAGTAGTGATGGCTGACAGGTGTGTCTTCCACAGTTTTAGAGAAGGGCCAAAATCCATACAGCTTCACATTTTCACACAGTTCGACCGCAACACTGGTGATCATCAAGCCTGAGGACAAGCGATACGCTGTCACACCTTTAGCTCTCCAGAAAAGGGCAAGATGTTTCAGGTACTTGGGATGGAAAAATATAACCTTCTGTCTTGCTTTGGACTCTTTCAGTGTGTAGTACACTTTAAATGAGGCTCCGGTGTTAGCCCTGTAGGAAAACGCTGGCAGAAGAAGGAACGCATCGCCATAGGTTGCAATATCCTCCAGAAATTCTGCTTTCTTTTCCTTTAAATTCCGATATCTGCCAAATTAGAAATAACAATTATAACAATAATAATAATAATCAAGTAGCAGTTTCAGTAACATGAGGCTGGATTTGCTACTGGTTAAAAAACAGAACCACTTATAATTACTGTACATAAAAGAGACAAACTGTGGATTCAGAGAAAACTCATTTAATTAAGCGGTATGTAAATATCATGAGCTAGGCCTTCATCTCTCTTAGTATAACTGGGCTTTTGATTTCTACATTTGTACCAGGCTATACCCTTACTGGACAGACGTTTCTGGTATTGTTTTATCTTTCAACTCAGTAATTTTTTCTAAGGTTGCTTTTTGATGCTGAAACACGTTTCCAAACTTATAATGATGAAATATTTTCTCAAGCATAAAACCAAAAAACCAAACATGTGGAGTGGATTCTGACTCATAGTGACCCTATAGGACAGAGGAGAACTGCCCCATAGACTTCTCAAGGAGTGGCTGGTGGATTCAAACTGCCAACCTTTTGGTTAGCATCTAGTTCTTAACCACTGCACCACCAGGAAGTGCAAACACAGCACCCTTAAAAATACATACACATATTTAAAAATTAATAGAGCTGCACACTTGTGATTTGTACACTTTTTGGACATGATATTGTAAAATAAACGTTTCCTTTAGAAAACCTAAACTATCTATATGCAAATGTATACAGAAGCTTAAATTTCCTCCATGCAATGTGATATCTCTATATGTAGGATTTAAATTATACCTTAGTAAATATATTTGTAAGCATGATTGTGTGTGTTTAAAAAGTAAGCCTTGGGGAGGCAGGTACAATATTTTATTTTCTCACAAGAGATACTAGAGTTATTTGGTGGGGCATATTCTATTAATAACAATTCTTAGTCATTTTGGGTGAAATCAATGTAAAATTATGTATGGGATTTTTATTAACCATCCAACTTTTTAGTAGTTACATTATACTACAGTATGTAATAGTAGCAGTTACATTAGAAAATAAAGCACAAATTATTTTTTATTAATAAGCTATCCAAAGGGAAAACTGTGTTTTGCCCAATTTTCCTAGGGCTTACTCTCTAACGTTTCTACATTGACTAAGTTTTTTAAGAAAATGCTAAAACGATAAAAGAGTAATGTTAAAACGCTGAAGGAAAATTGAAAAAAAGTAACCGTCCTATTATAAAAAAAAATATGAAGAGATAAGTTCTCATTTTATTAGCAACATTTAGCTATGACAAAAGAAGTACCACTGATTCATACCTGTTATGAACCACAATCTCAGTAGAAAGTCAAAAATTACAAACACATTCTTTATCTATTTTCCTGAAGGGCCATTCCAGCTGTGCTGTAGTCAGCCTCACGGGTTAGTGCTCAAGCTTAGAAACATGTTGCTGTTGTTGTCAGAGGCTGTCGACTCACAGCAGCCCCATGTGACAGAGTAGAACCGCCTCACGGGGTTTTCTTGGCTGTCATCTTTATGCGAGCAGATCGCCAGGTCTTTCTTCCAAGGAGTGGCTGGGTGGGATTGAACCGCCAACCTTTTAGTTAGCAGCCAAGCACTTCACCATTGCACCACCAGGGCTCCTTGGGAAACACGTGAAACAATGAAAGAATGTTCTTGAATAGTTATGTAACTTGGAGATACTTACTTTACTGTTATGATACTGGGATTCACAGTCACAAGATTTGTTTTACTGCCAACATCTTTAGTAATATTTCCTGTTGTTGGGGGAAGGTTACACCTAAAATTTGGAAGGGGAAATATTTTCAAAATACAACTTGTAAGAAAAAAGTGCACACACACACACACACACACACACACACACACACACACACACACACACGATCACTGTCCTTACTGGAGAGAATAGTTGCTATTAAGAAATCCTCAGAATCCATCTGATTTAAATTTAAAACTATTGAATAAGTGCTAAACCCTTAGTTGATATTTCAACATAGCATAAGATATACGAATTTGATAAATGTTTTTTGTAAGTATCAAAATCAGAAATGACAATTATATCTGCCTAACTTCTGAAGAGTTCATAATCCTTTTATTTAAAGGATTGTATTTATATTAATTATATTCCCACACTGGTAATATTACCAATTTAGAGATGAAAAAAAAATTGACGTATAGTGATGAAGTTTACACAGTATGCCAGAAGGAAAGATTATATTAAAAAAAAAAGAAATCAAAATTTCCTGATTCCCATAAGGATATTTTTCCACCAAATTACACTGTTAATAAATAAAGCTCTAACATTCTTATGGTGATGTTTTCTTATTGACATTCTCATCTTCCTTTGAGTGCTAATTTGTTTTTAAACTGGAAAACAAATTAAGATTGTAATTTTGAGTAATTTTATTCCTATCACAAAAAATGGGAAAGGTGGTTATGACTCCCTAAGTATTGCTTACGGAATTTCAAGTAGATCAATTCTTTAAAGCTGTACATAAAAACGGAGCATCTCTGAGTGCTTCCTTAAGGAAAGCTGTTGAAAGTTGACAAGTTCTGCAATATGACTGAGCCTGAAATATTCTATTTCATGCTTTATGAGACATACAAGCAAATGAAACATGTGCTTCCCTTACTAGTTTTAAAGATACCTCAGACAAAAATTAAATATGGCACCTTGGGAAAAATAAATACTAATCATAGATACAAGGTCATAAAATGATCTGCCTAGTCAGCTGCCTGTAACAAATCTACTTTCCAGAACAGAGACATATTCTTTTGAAGAATCAAGAGTTATTGTCAATGTAGCATTATAGGGAAGTGCTAGGGGAAGTACTGGATGTACACAATAGTATAGTAAAGCCGGAGTCCCTGGGTGGTGCAAATGGTTAACGTCTCTGCTGCTAACTGAAAGGTTGGAGGTTCAAGTCCACCCAGAGGTGCCCTGGAAGAGAGTAGTCTTGGAGATCTACTTCCAAAAAAATCAGCCACTGAAAACTCTATGGAGCGCAGTTCCACTCTGGCACACGTGGGGTCGCCATGAATCTGGATTGACTCGATGACAGCTGTTTTTTTTTTAAATAGTAAAGCTACTCATCATCTATTTCTATCCCTTACACACTTAATTCCTAGCTCCCAAACTTTTGAAATGGAAAGAAAAAAAAAACAATAAGTAGCTTCCAGATTGTTTTATAAACTATGAACAGGCATAGCCAAAATTAGTACAGGCTTAAAAATTAAATAAATTTTAATGGCATCAACCACATCCAGCCCTTATTTTGCCTTTCAGTTTAGACAGCTAACTTCAAAAGGAACTTTATATTCTAAAAAATATCTGGCATCAGCCAATGAACAATCTAGAAACCGGCATTTATTTTAGAGCTATAAATTAAATAGCTGCCCAGATCTTTATTAGTTTTTAAAACTAAACTTGTTTTTCCTGTATTTGCTATAAAGCAAAATGAATGTTTAGGCATAATACTCAACATAGATGTTTTGGGAATTTTAAGTCTATAAAAAGTCTTTTGAAAGAAGAATTATTTATCTTCATTATGACTTTTTCACACTGAGTACTTTGACAAAATGACTAAATCATTCAGGTATTGGCCATTTTAACATTAATCATGAAGAACACATTCAATAATTGTTAGACTGCCAGGTCTACTGTTGTTCTGTCATTACCTTCAGCATAAATTTTTAATATGAGATTAATGTGAGGGGGGAGCTATTTATTGAAAACTGTGTTTCTTCTTCACTTGCTAAAAATGGCACCATTAAATCGATAAGGATCAAAGGGTTTCTTCTGATGTATGAAATCATTACTCCTAAAACAGGAGAAAACAGATTACCATCTACTCTTTAGAAAGGTGCATTTCAGTTGAAATTCATCTTCAGATGGATGAATCATCTTTCCACCATACTCTGAAAGTGGAGATGTTTTGTAGCATGGCTTATTAGCACGAGGCACACATAGATCCATATTTCTATTTTTTCAAGCTAGCTGGTACTGAGATATAAACATTTAAAAAGACCAGACTTGAGAAGCTGCAGAAAATTTTCTTAATTTAAAGCCAAATAACTAAATATACAATGACTTTACATGGCTGCATAATGTCTAGACCAGCATGTTCCCCAAGTATTATCTGAGAACAAAACTTCCTTGAAAGGCTCTGTTTAAAAAACAACAACAACAAAGGTTTGCAAGGTCAGGTGAGCCTAGAAAATGCTGCTCAACAGAGTTCCTCTCAGGGAGCCATGGTACCCATTGGCATACTGAAGGTTCGGACAAGTCCTGCAATACAGAACCCTCTAATCATCATGATTTCACCCAGAGTTCCCTAAAGGTGTCTGACCATAGCATGTGTTTGTCTTCCTGTATAAACATTCTGAGCAACTCATGATCCATGTAACACTTGAGGAAAGGCATATGTGGGTAATTTGTAGAATTGAGCAACACAGCTCAAAGATCAAAATTCACATGGGGTATCTTTATTAAAAAACAAAATGAAACAAATCCTTTGCCATCAAGTTGATTCCGACTCATGTGACCCCATGCGCTACAAAGCAGAACTGTTCTGTAGGGTTTTTGTGGCTGTAATCTTTACGGAAGCTGTTTGCTAGGCCTTCCTTCTGTGGAGCCACTGGATAAGTTCAAACCACCAACCTTTAGGTTAGCAGCTGATTGCAAATGGCTTGTACCATACAGGGTCCTATGGTATTACCCCTTTAAAATAGCCAACTGATCTTTTGTTTCAAAGAAACCAGTATGACAGATCTTACCTAAAAACGAAGTCAGATTTATCTATTTCAGCTCCACAGAGAGACTTATTCAGAATTCCTCCATTTCCAACCACTGCACACTGATTATAAGGGTACTCCAAAAAAGGTTGGGACTATCAGGAGAAAGTAAAAAATGGTCATTAAATATTTTTACTTTTAGAACCATAAACATCATCATCTTAATTCTGGTAGCTTAACTTTAACACGTGCTAAGGTCAAGAAAAGGAGCCCTGGTGGCACAACGGTTAAAGCGCTCAGCTGCTAACCAAAGGTTGGCGGTTGGATCTTACCAGCCGCTCTGTGGCAGAAAGATGTGGCAGATTGCTTCTGTAAAGATTACAGCCTTGGGAACCCTATGGGGGCAGTTCTACTCTGTCCTATAGGGTCACTGTGAGTCAGAATCGACCTGATGGCAACGGGTTTGGTTTTGGTAAGGTCAAGAAAAAGTAGGAGCGGCGGCAGCATAGCCTTCTGATGAACTTAGTATGACTAATAAAAGAATTATCATACAAAACTAAGTTCCATTTCTCTTGAGAGGAATATACATCATGTAATATAAAATATAATGTGCAGGCAGTCCCTGGGTTATGAACATCCGACTTACATACAACCGGCAGTTACTATTATATTAAAAATTCAAGGTACATACAATGATTCGTAATAACAAATGGGTGCTACTTTGCGACGCAGATCAAAACATTATTATTATTACTGTATTATTATGTTAAAGATGTTTCAACGTGTCTGGAAGTGTTTCTTTAATGTTTTTATGCATAGAAAGGTTCACTACATACTATATACTAAGACAAATACTTGACTAACTGACGTTAGATACGAGCTGTACCTAACTGTTCCAACTTACATACAAATTCGACTTAAAGACAGACTTAGGAATGGAACTCATTCGTAATCTGGATATTGCCTGTATAAAATATAAATAATATAAAATCTAATATATATTTACATAAAATATAATACATTTTACATCATATAATGAAGTAAATAAAATGAGAACAGTAAGACCCCAGATTGAGCCTTTCAAACAAACAGGAAAGTTTTCAGAAAAAAAAAAAGAAAGATAAAGTAAAGCAATTAGAAAGTAGCATTGAATCCTCTATTCTTAGGCATAAAATTAATAGTTAATTTAGCAACAGTTTTCTGTGCTTCTTAAATAGTCAGACCTTCAGGCTCAGTAATGCTATTAAATTTATTCCTGCCACCTTCTCAAATGACCTGCCAGGGTGCTTCAAGGAGGCCTAACAACTCTGTGCTGACATCTTTCAAATTAATTTCCAAGGTCTAAATCTTCTTTATTTCATCCTAGGACCCAACTTGCCTAATCCAAAAGGCTTTCCACTTTCACAAAATCCTCCCCAACCTGAAACATACTTATCAACTAAATAGTGACTTTTCCTTTGTTGGTCACTTTCCCTGAAGTAATATGGCTGTGTCCTGCAACAAGGGTGCCAGCTCATACTCCACAGTAATAATGTCACAATTCACCTAGTCTGTAAGTCCTCAAAGACAGAGAGAGTGCGTATTACTTTTAATTTCCCTTTCTCTTTCACTCCAGACCTGGCATAGCACAATGTATACAATGACTTTTCAATAAGTACTTGTTGGTCCAATGGCCTACCCAGCTTCAATCCTGCGTAGGCTGGAGACTGCTTGTACCAGCTTGCAAGAGATAGTTGATAAACATTTAGGAATTTTGTTAACTGGCTTTTGAACCATTGGTAACCTGAAATCCCACCACCTGCCTGTCAGTTTGTTGTACTGCGGTTGTTTGTGTGTTGTAATGATGCTGTAAGCTATGCCACTGGTATTTCAGAAACCACAAAGGTCACCCATGGTGGACAGGTTTCAGCGGAGCTTCCAGACCAAGAAAGACTAGGAAGAAAGACCTGGTGATCTACTGCCAAAAATTAGCCAGTGAAAACCTTATGGATCACAACAGAACACTGGCTGACTCGGTTGCTTTTGACAGATCATCAGAAGGGATCAATTGCTAGAGAAGGACATCATGTTTGGTAAAGTAGAGGGCCAGCAAGGGTGAGGGAGACTCTGGGTGAGATGGATTGGCACAATAGCTACAAGATGGAGTCAAACATCCTGGTGATTATGAGGAAGAGCAGGACCCGGCAATGTTTCATTCTGTTGTACGTAAGGTCACCATGAGCCAGTTTCGACTTGACAGCAACTATCTATCTGTCTAACCTGAAATTGGCCATGGCAGGAGTATTTATCCACTGAACTGGCAAATGCTACAAATCAGGACATCCCCTTCCCAAAGCCAGTTTACCAACACCACTAGCAACAGCCCAGGACTGATGTAGTTCTGAGCAACTTTACCAGGTCACAGCCTAGAGGGCCAACCGACCTGAACCTCTGCTCCTGAGGCTGCATCCGGGAGATGCCAAACAGGCAAAGAGAAATCTGGTTCAGTACTCAGCTACTAACTCAAAGATTGGAGGTTTGAACCCATTAGCTACTTCGAAGGAGAAGGATGTGACAGTCTGCTTCTGTAAAGATTACCAAAGCCAAGCCCACTGCCATTGAGTCGACTCCGACTCACAGCGACCCTACAGGACAGAGTGGAACTGTCCCATAGGGTTTCCAAGGCTGCAAATCTTTACTGAAGTGGACTTCCACATCTTTTTCCTGCGGAGTGGCTGGTGGGTTTGAACCACCACTCTTTCAGTTAGCAGCTGAGCGCTTTAACCACTACACCACCAGGGCTCCAGCCATAAAGATTACAGCCTTGGAAATCCTACAGGGCAGTGTCTACTCTGTCCCATAGGGTCGCTATGAATCGAAATTGACTCGATGGCAATGGGTTTTGGTTTATAGTGCTTATTATGTAAGACCCAGGGTTCCAAGTGCATAACTTTAACACATTTAATCCACACAACAACCTTATGAGCATTCTGCAGATGACAATACGGAGACACGAGTTTAAGTAACAGTTAGAAAGTGGCAGAGCTGAGATTCAAACCCAGGCAGTCTGCTCTGGAGTTGTTGTTACTTGCTATCAAGTCAATTCTGACTCACAGTGACCCCATGTGTGCAGAGTAGAACTGCTCCACAGGGTTTTCAAGGCTGTGACCTTTCAGAGGCAGATTACCAGGACTGTCTCCTGAGGCACTCTTAGGTAGGTTCGAACCACCAACCTTTTGGCTAGTAGCTGAAGTGCTTAACCATTTGCACCACCTAGGAACTTCTCCAGAGTACATGCTCTTAACATTACACAGCTTCTCACTACTCATAGAATAAAGTGTTGACTTAATTATTGCCTTATTTCTCTTTATATCTGAATACCTAGCATAGTGCCTAGCTCTTCAATGAATAGTTCCCAGATACCTCAAGCTATTGTATGTCACTGAACTTCTAGATAAAGGCATCTTCAGATAGTATTTACTAAATGACACCAAAATAAATTCTGAATTTTATAGATAGGGTAGAATGCAAAAACACTCCTTATGGTATAATAGAAGATATTACTGAGGGAAACATATCTCAAATTAAGCGCTCAAAATAATGAATACTTTTCTCTGGTTTCTTGGTCAACCAGGGGAAGACATCCATATGCTTTGGGATGTCATATTCAGTAAGAGTTTCAGTAAATCTTAAACCTCAACCTTCCTTTAAATAAACCTTCTTAGAAAATTTACACAACTCACCTGCCTGCTCATGCTCACTCTGGTTGGAAACCATCTTTGTTGTTTTTCTCTTCAAGTAACTTGGCGAAGTTTCTGGAGGAAGTTACCTCATAACACCTCTTATGGATTTAATTGTGTGCCCCCAAAATGTGTGTCAACTTGGCGAGGCTATGATTCCCAGTATTGTGTGGTTGTCCTTCATTTTGTGATCTGATGTAATTATCCTATGTGTTGTAACCTCTATGATGCTAATTAGGCAGGATTAGAGGCAGCTAAATTAATGAGGCAGGACATAAACTACAGGATTAGGTTGTATCTCGAGTAAATCTCTTTTGAGATATAAAGGAGAGAAGCGAGCAGAGAGGAGAGGGAACATGTTACCACCAAGAAAGAAGAGCCAGGAGCACAGCGCATTCTTGGACTGCACTGAGAGGCTCCTAGACCACGGGGAAGACTGATGACAAGGACTTTTCCCCAGAGTCAATAGAGAGAGAAGCTTTCCCCTAGAGCTGCAGCCCTGAATTCAAACTTCTAGCCTCCTAAACTGTGAGAGAATAAATTTCTGTTTGTTAAAGCCATCCACGTATGGTATTTCTGTTACAGCAGTACTAGATAACTAAGACACCACTTAATCAAAAGCATTGATCGTGATCTAGTCGGGGATGTTTTCCCATGTATTTTTCTAGTTTCTTTTAAGCCTATTATGTAGGCTTTTTATTTGTGTGTATTTTTATTTTTTGTACAAAATGGAATTAAATACTAATTTTTGTTGTTCCAACTAATCTCCTAATGATGAATATTTAAGGTTCAAACCTTTTGATATTACTACTAAGGCAAGGAAGAATCACTGGCTAAAACTAACCTAACGGGAATGGAAAATCATTAAGATGCCCTAAAAATTCCAAAATTTAGACCTAAAAGCCCGCAAAACAAAGCTTTGATGCTCCCAAATTACCAGGACTTGAAAAGTCAATGGCTGGGATTAAATTATTCCTTTCAAACACTTCATTTGATCGCCTTCCTTGTTGACTGACTTTTATTGACTTGATCAAATTATTTTTAATCAAATCATGAAAGATGCATGAGAAAATATGTTAAGCAATTGGATGGTCTTCATGAAAAGAACTTCCCCCAAATATTATATTAAGGGATTAAAGGATTATATTAAGGGACACCTTTCTCCTCAGTTTCAAATGATATTATACTGTATCATGCACGCATTTGTTTATTCAACCACTATGTATTGAATACATATGCAAATATGTACCCAGGAATATTCTAGAAACTTGGGATATACCAGTCAACACACCAAACAAAAATCCCTGTCTTAAGTAAATTCCATTTATTCACCGCAAATTCTTACATATTACTTTCCAAAGATGAGTCACATAAACCTTATAGTTCTTGTGAAGGAATTGATTTAGTAACCAAAATACACAACTGGCAGAATCTTATTTCAGGTGAAAAACTGTCATCTTCACAAGTCCAGCAATTACTATGTAGAAAGCCCAAGTGCCTCATCTCATGCAAGGATGAGTCAGGAGGACTTGAGGACTGAGAGCGCGTTTTATTTAAGTTATAAATGCCATTCCCTGCAGAGCCCCACTGCATTCCAAATTACTTTTTCAAAATGGCCCACAATACACATCTTATACAACATAATAGAATGTGGCGTTTTAATTAATTAATTACTCCATTATAAATTATAACTCATAGTGAGAGAAAAGTTACCAGGAATGGTGACACAAATCACCCACACCAAATCTTTACTCACTATTGGAAGCATATTAAAGATGGTCTCTCCAATCGGGATTCCTTTTTTACTTTCCACCTCATAAGTTACGTTAGTTCCAACTGGAGTGTTATTTTGAGAAACGACAAAGTTTTGAACAGCATCACAACAGGAGGCAAGCTCTGCCCTGCAAAGGATAAGAATAAACACAACCCAAGGAATAAGATTAAGAAATTAAAAATAGAGAAGACAACGGATTATGCAAAAGAGGAATTTGCCCCATTGACTTTCAGAAGGAAGATAAATCATTCACAAAGGTGACATTTTTATCTCATTCAATTCTAACTAGCTCTTAATGGTAGAATGATGACTTAGCAGAATAAAATGGCAAAGAATGTTAAATATACTCAGGTAAAGATCCTTTGATGTAAAAGTACTCATAAATAATAGTTTTCAATAAAAGAACTTGCTTCTAGTGATACTGCCTTAACATTAAAGAAATATACTATAATTATTTTATATTACTAAATACAGAAAGTAAATTAAGAATAGTATTATAGTCACCAAAGCAATACACAATCATCAATGAGAAAAGTCCAGTAGAAAGGAGAATCATTTAGTACAGTGAGTTTTTAAATGAAGCAAATTTAAAGTTGTCGTTCCTTATAGACAGTCTAGAAAAATGTAATTTAGTGTCAAACTATATTTCAAAACTATTACTGTGGAGCGAAACATAATTAGAATGTAGACCCAGGAAGGTCCTTCCAGAGATCATCTGAGTTAGCTCTCAACCTCTGGCAAGTGAATGCAGAACCACTTAGGAATTATTTTATTTATGTAATTCTGTAGGACTGTAGATTCCAGAGTCTCTCTTGACAATTATTCCAGGGTTTAATCAACCTTGAAGTCAAGAGATTCTTCCATTTGCACAACTGAAATGTTTCTCAACTTAAATCCATTTTCCTGTTAGATTTTCTTAGAATCTCCTTGTAAAAACACTTCATGTAATTGAGAATGGTAATCAAGCAACACTTTAACCTTTTCATCTTGAATAGTTTAGAGAATTTCCTCTTCTCTTCTCTCAGATTTTTCTCAGAGGACCAGTTTTGCATTATTTTAGTCATCTTTGTTCCTCTTTAAATTTTTACTTATTGCTCCATTTTACTTAAAAAGATGTATCAAACTTGGATCCAATCATAGTAAAAGGGGCAGTGAATATTTAGCAAATAGAGCAAGGTCTTGCTGACTGTGGTCAGCGCTAATATCTTAGATTGACAGCTGATCTTTCCACATTCCACACGTTAGTTTTGGGTCCTGAAGGTTATATTTTTGTACATGTTCCTGCCCAATTCTATCCTTTTGAAAACTATAATGCTCCAATTTGTTATGGTCATTTTGAATTATATTCTACTCTTTTGGAATTTTAAGAATTCTCAGGATATGAAAAGTCAGTATTGTGAAATTATATGTACCTCAAAGTCAAGATTTGCAACAATCTTTGTTATGTCTTATTTCATCAAAATAGTACATTTTTCTTAATTGAATTCCATCACCTGCTTATCACTTCTTTCTGTATTTCAGAACCTAAAATTTCTAAAATATAGTTCATGGGGATTAACAAAAGCAAAAATGAAAAATGGCGTGCAGTCAAAAACATGATGTCAAGTAGTTTTTAATTATAAATTTAATTTGATAGCAATTCATGTGACATTATTGTAAATTCAGAAATCTTTATGAGTTTAAATGTTTCTTTTTTCCAGCATTTTGAGAAAAGGCAACATAATAAATTCTCATTTACCTTTGACAAGTAACTTAATTTTTTAAGGATATTCAATACTTAAAAGAATATTGCATCATTAAAAACACTAACCAGGGCACTCTGTACTTTTTTACATTAGAAGATTTTCTGAAATTATATTTTTTATTGTTTTATTATAAAAATTTTCAAACAGAAAAGTTGAAAGAGTTGTACAATGAGCACTTGAATAACCACCAGCTAGATTCTACAAATTTTTACTATGTTTGCAATATTGATTATACATTTATTGTATACTATATTTATTGTACATGTCTGTCAGTTTGTCATACTGTGGTGGCTTGCATGTTGCTGTGATACTGGAAGCTTTGCTACTGGTATTTCACATACCAGCAGTGTCACCCGTGGTGGAGAGGTTTCAGTGGAGCTTCCCGACTAAGATAGACTAGGAAGAAGGATCTGGCAGTCAACTTCTGAAAAAGCTGGACAGTGAAAACCTTATGACTAGCAGTGGAATGCTGTCTGATATAATGCCAGAAGATGAGCCCCTCAGGTTGGAAGGCACTCAAAATGCAACTAGGGAAGTGCTGTCGCCTCAAAGTAGAGTTGACCTTAATGACATGGATGGAGTCAAGCTTCTGGGACCTTCATTTGCTGATGTGGCATGACTCAAAATGAGAAGAAACAGCTGCAAACATCCATTAATAATCAGAACATGGAATGTACGAAGTATGAATCTAGGAAAATTGGAAGTCATCAAAAATGAAATAGAACGCATAAACATTGATATCCTAGATATCAGTGAGCTGAAATGGACTGGTATTGGCCATTCTGAATCAGACAATCATATGGTCTACTATGCTGGGAATGACAAATTGAAGAGGAATGACGTTGCATTCATCATCAAAAAGAACATTTCAAGATTTATCCTGAAGTACAACACTGTCAGTGATAGGATAATATCCATATACCTAAAAGGAAGATCAGTTAATACAACTATTATTCAAATTTAGACACCAACCACTAAGGCCAAAGATGAAGAAACTGAAGATTTTTACCAATTTCTGCATTCTGAAATTGATCAAACATGCAATCAAGATGCACTGATAATTACTGACAATTGAAATGGAAAAGTTGGAAACGAAGAAGGATCGTTGGTTTGAAAACATCGTTGGTGATAGATATTTTGCAAGACCAAGGACTTCTTCATTGCAAATACCTTTTTCCAACAACATAAACGGCAACTATACACGTGGACCTTGCCACATGGAATACACAGGAATCAAATCGACTACATCTGTGGAAAGAGACGATGGAAAAGCTCAATATCATCAGTCAGAACAAGGCCAGGGGCTGACTGCGGAACAGACCACCAATTGCTCATATGCAAGTTCAAGTTGAAACCGAAGAAAATTAGAACAAGTCCATGAGAGTCAAAGTACTACCTTGAGTATATCCCACCTGAATTTAGAGACCATCTCAAGAATAGATTTGATGCATTGAACACTAATGACCGAAGACCAGATGAGTTGTGGAATGACATCAAGGACATCATACATGAAGAAAGCAAAAGGTTATTAAAAAGACAAGAAAGAAAGAAAAGACCAAAACGGATGTCAGAAAAGACTCTGAACTTACTCTTGAATGTAGAGTAGCTAAAGCGAAAGGAAGAAATGATGAAGTAAAAGAGCTAAACAGAAGATTTCAAAGGGTGGGTTGAGAAGATAGTAAAGTATTATAATGAAATATGCAAAGACCTAGAGATAGAAAACCAAAAAGGAAGAACACGCTTGGCACTTCTCAAGCTGGAAGAACTGAAGAAAAAATTGAAACCTAGAGTTGCAATACTGAAGGATTCTATGGGAAAAATATTAAATGATGAGGAAGCATCAAAAGAAGATGAAAGGAAAACAGAGTCACTGTACCAAAAAGAATTGGCCAATATTCAGCCATTTCAGGAGGTAGCATATGATCAAGAACCGATGGTACTGAAAGAAGAATTCCAAGCTGCACTGAAAGCACTGGAGAAAAACAAGGCTCCAGGAATTGATGGAATACCAGTTGAGACGTTTCAACAACCAAATGCAGTGATGGAGGTACTCATTCATCTATGCTAAGAAATTTAGGAGACAGCTACCTGGCCAACTGACTGGAAGAGATACATATTTGTGCTCATTCCAAAGAAAGGTGATCCAACAGAATTTGGAAATTTTCAAACAATATTATTCATATCACATGCAAGTAAAATTTTGCTGAAGATCATTCAAAAGCGGTTGGAGCAATACATCAACAGGGAACTGCTAGAAATTCAAACCAGATTCAAAAGAAGACGTGGAACGAGGGATATCATTGCTGATGTCAGCTGGATCATGGCTGAAAACAGAGACTATCAGGAAGATGTTAACCTGTGTTTTATTGACTATGCAAAGGCATTCGACTGTGTAGGTCATAAAAAATTATGGATAACGTTGTGAAGAATGGGAATTCCAGAACACTTAATTATGCTCATAAGGAACCTGTACTTAGACCAAAAGGCAGTCATTCGAACAGAACAAGGGGATACTTCATGGTTTAAAGTCAAGAAAGGCAAACGTGTGCTTCAGGGTTGTAACCTTTCACCATACTTATTCAATCTGTATGCTGAGCAAATAGTCTGAGAAGCTAGACTATATGAAGAAGAACATGACATCAGGATTGGAGGAAGACTCATTAACAATCTGTGTTATGCAGATGACAAAACCTTGCTTGCTGAAAGAGAAGAGGACTTGAAGCACTTACTGATGAAGATCAAACACTACAGCCTTCAGTATGGATTACACCTCAATATAAAGAAAACAAAAATCCTTACAACTGGACCAATAAGCAACATCATGATAAACAGAGAGAATACTGAAGTTGTAAAAGATTTCATTTTACTTGGATCCACAGTCAACATCCATGGAAGAAGAAGTCAGGAAGTCAGACGATGTTTTGCACTGGGCAAATCTGCTGCAAAGGATCTCTATAAAGTATTAAAAAGCAAAGATGTCACTTTAAGGACTAACATGCACCCGACCCAAGCCATGGTGTTTTCAATCACCACACATGCATGTGAAAGCTGGACAATGAATAAGGAAGATCAAAGAAGAATTTATGCCTTTGAATTATGGTGTTGATGAAGAATATCGAATATACCATGGCCTGCCAGAAGAATGAACAAATCTGTCTTGGAAGAAGTACAACCAGAATACTCCTTAGAAGCAAGGATGGTGAGACTTTGTCTCACATACTTTGGACATGTTATCCAGAGGGACCAGTTCTTGAAGGACATCTAGCTTGGTAAGTAGAGCGTAGGCAAAAAAAGAGGAAGACCCTCAATGAGAGGGACTGACACAGCAGCTGCAACAATGGGCTCAAACATAATTACAATTGTGAAGATGCTGCAGGACCGG